TCTCTCCAGAGAAGAGGTTGCATTTTTGGAGGTCTTAAGGGTCGGTTTCATGGGCAGCACTTTAAGTTAATAAGCTGGATCAAACAGTTGAACCAAAATCCTTGCTTGTTTACAAGACAGGGTTTATGCAAAAACATATTAATGTACCAGCATCTTATGACAAATGCAAAAAGCCTCTTAGAAACAACTCATCTCCCACTTAAAGCTTACAGCAAGCAGGGTGGGTGGCATTTTCACAAGAACACTTAGCTGTCTCTCCTTTTTTAACCCTGTTTAACCTTTGTCGCTCGTTGTTAGAATGAGACTTAAGCCTTAGGAAAACATGACACCTGTATTAATGTAGCTGAAACATTTGAGAATAATTAAGTGTCGCCATACTCCTGTTTAAAGACAGTTTAATTAGGGATGTAGTATTTGCCTTGCCTCTGTTGGTAGAGGTCTGTGAATGACTGTGTATACACACACAGCGTTTTGGGATTGGCGAGAAACGTGTGTGGAATTCGGTGAAGGTCTTAATGAAAGTCAGAGTGCTTAGTGGACATGAGGGCTCCTCTGATGGAAATCAATGTGGTCTTTTGTAGCAGGGAGAGCAGCCAATTCCAGGCCTCAGCTGCCTGATGTGGTGTTGGCAGACTTTGACGAACATTTAATGACGCGTCACTGGGCTGGACAGGTAATCGATTTATTTAGGCAGTAATGTATGTATCCCTAGGTAAATCTTTAATTAATGGGCAAAAAGATGAGGACAATTGTGATGCAGAAGGCCAAAGAGCATGAAATTCCAACAAGGTAGAAGGGTGGCTTTCTCATTTCCCTTTCAATTAGCTGTTAGTGCTTCATACTCCAGCTGTTTTGCATTACGTTTAGATATGTCTTTGTTTAGCTTGATCTTCTTTAGACAAGATCTTCCATGGCCAGGAGTTTAACTGCTTTGGTTTTTGTTTTGCAGTTAAAAGATAGGCATAAAATCCTTTACGCAACTTATTTCAGAGTATTAAAATTCTATATTCTTATATTCTGATGTGGAGAAAAAAAGAAGTGGCTTGATCGCCAGTGCAAAAAAAAGTTGGCAACATGAACTTTCTGCTTATTAATAATCTGTGGAGGAATGTTTTAATTGGTATGTGGAAGGGGTGTGTCTGATTTATGTGTCTTCAGTGCCTGCTGGCTGGATAATAGCCTTCACTGTTCAAACTAACTTTGCTATAGCGGTGAGAAGCAGAGAGCTACACAATTTTAGTGTTTAATGTTTAAATGGTCTCTTCTTGTATGTAGTAAAAGAAGAAGGGGGTTTGTGTGACAGAGGAGGATGCTAGGCATAGGACGGCCTCTAAAGTGAGCAGCTGAAAGAACAAGAAGATTGTAGAAGTTCCTAATTACCAAACATTTGGACAATTGCATTGAAACTTGGGATGATTAAGACATAGTTTCACTAATCACACTTGACTGAACCACCAGCAGCACTGCCACTACGCCCAAAGACCACATTAGCCCTCTAAAACCTTGTGTGACTGACGTATTGGAATTGTCAATTTTTTCTGAGTGCAAACATTTCACAACCATGATGATTTTAGTGAAGGCCACACCAATTTGCAGGTCTGGCTGAGCCAAATATCTACTGTCTGTATGCTTATCCTGCTTCCACTTTTCATGGGTAATTGGCTGCCTTTATGGACCCGTGCACTCCTCTGAAACAAAGGCCACAAGCGCCACATACCTCATGTACAGAACTGTTCACTCAAAACAGTTTGCTGTTCCATATGTTTCTCTACTATGTTTTAGTTCCCCATCATTAATGGATTTTTAATGTATTTCAGAATCCCCACTTTAATCTCATTAAAACAAAAGTTGTGGTTCTGGATATTTGCAATTTTAATAGTAAAAGAAATAACATGGGTGTACACAACTAAGCGAGATGTATGTTTATGCATAGGCATGTCTCACTGACAGCTTGAGTCAAGCCTCATTGATAAATCCACTAAGCATTTAAAGGATTTTAGAGTGTGGGTGGGATAGAGTTGGATTGCTCACTGAGCTGAGATCTCTCTTCTCTGTTCTTTTCTCCAACTGTGTGCACAGCAGTTCATGTGTTTGTTATGCACCTGATTTTGTGGGTTACAAAAATAATTTTCTCTGGGAATTTGTAATAGTATTGTTACAGTCATTTTAATTTATTTTAATTGAAATGGACCAAACAGATTTATAAAACTGATATATTATTTAAAGATGTACAAAAAATCATAAAAAGAGCATAGACTCACTCAGCTGCCAGACATACAGTTGTACCCTTGTTCTGACTAACGTATGAAACTTTCAGAATGCTTCAGCAAGCTCTCTTTTTTTTTTTTTTTTTTTTTTACTTAATGACATTCTGTTGGAAATTGAGAGTATGACTCTGTTCATTTACAGTGAGTTCAAAATGTATTCTGACCCCTTATTTCTTATGTATGAGGTTTTATTTCACAGAGCCTTCAGCTGTAAAAGAACATTTCTGAGCTTTGCTGGTAGAAAAATTAATTGATTAATTGAACATTGTTTAGAAAGCATGCACATTTGTTCTTCATGTCTGTGTAGATCTCAATAACAATTTGGCCAAAAGATCATTTTAGAACTGACTTTATATTACAGCCAGTGTTTATTATATTATATCAGTATCCCTGTTACTTCATTCCATCTATACCATGATGCTACTGTAGCTACTTAACTAGTTAGCTCTGGAAACAAAAATCAATCGACAGTCAATATGACGATAGCGAGGGTGAATTTATTGAGAGCAGAAATGTCTTCGCGCTTAGAAGTACAACCAAGGACTTGCTTTGACAAAAGGGCAAAGACTACATGCATAGAGGAAAAAGATGATATATAGCCTAGGAATAGTGTTACAAGAAGGGGAAAAAGGGAAATTATGCATCTTTGGTGGCTCTGTGGATGATAAAAAGAAAGAAAAACAGAATTGCGGAAGTCAGCACCTGCTGAATTGTTTGCGGTTAAGCTGGAAGCAGAGGCATGTAATCAAAGGACACAGCGAGGAGGGAAAAAAACCAACATCTACTGCTCATAAAGCATAGGTAAGGCATTATAGCAGCTGAGTTATGTGACTGGACACGGGTGTTCCATGCACAGTTGCACAATCTTTTGAAAGAGAAAATCCCTTTTCATTAAATGGACTAGAATGAGTCGTGGTTCTACATGCTGACTGCAATAAAGAATAAACACAGGGCATGTTTGCAAGTGAAAATTAACTTGAGCTCCACTGGAAATAAATTGTTGCCTTCTTGCAGTACAATTGTTACTGTATATTGATTTTTGAAAAGTTGTTGTTGTTGAAAGTTCAGCAATAATCATTTCCATTTCATGTTTTAAGGTATATTCATATAGTTTTGAGCGATAAACCCATACTTCAGAAGTCCTCTGCACAGTGGGGAGTCATGCTAGAAGGATCACTTAAGCATCACGTCAATTATCAGGCCTCTGTTACGTGGCTAGATAGAAGACACTTTTGAGTAAAAAGCAAATAAAAACTCACATGGAATGAACCAATAAATGCTAAAACAACATTGAGCCCACAATGACAGCAACTTTATGTTCTGATGAGAAAGATATTGACATCTCTGATCAAAATTCTGAACACTGTGTAGTGTGAACAACAGTCTGTAAATCATCTCTGATCATTGTCCTTGCAATGAAGCATAGTGGTGGCAGCTACTAAACTTACAGTAATTGTTCTCTGTAGCAGAGGTGTGTTGACTAGTCAGAATTAAGGGTGAACTGCAGCCAAATACAGAGGTACTTTATAGTTTACCACTCATCACTGCAGTTTCCCAAAGCATATAGCTTTAGTGGCAAGCAATTTTGGGACAAGTCCCTGACTTCAGTTGTGTTGAATAAAGCTTGGCTGAAACTGTTTCATGCAACAGCACGATGATCCCAAGGATACCTGCAAATCTGCAGTAGAATGGCTGAAAAAGAGTTAAAAACATTTATGTTTAAGACCTTACATGGTGAAATATATGTGTTATTGGTGAAGACCTTCAAAAAATCTAAACAATAGTCATATTAATGCAGTCTGCTTTAAATGTTAGTAGAAATCTTTCTGAGTAAGAAAACATGTTTAATATTATCCTGGTCTCATTTTGGCTGAAGCCAACTGTAAACTGTTTAGTGCAATGAAAGTCAGCATATACAATCAATCGCTCTTTAAGGCTCATTTGAAATGACTGCAGGATTTATGCAGGGGTCTCCTTTTTAGGCAGCAGTGTATTGGTCTGTGACTTTGTAGTAATTATCCATGGACTAAGGACAAAGTGAAAGAGGGAGAGCGTACGTGAGTGTGATGGCATCGTTGGAAGATAGGGGGTACATAAAGTGGGAGAGAAAGTTTTTGCATCTACTTTACAGTATCATGCTTCTATTCGATCTTGCAATAATTAGTCTTTGAGTTTAGAAGGTGAAAACAGAGTCAAACAAAATTAGACAAATCTGCCTACAGGTAATTATGCAGTCTATTGATATCCAATAACCAATTCATATGGCTCCTTGGACTTTCATACTATCACTCCAGTTCACTCTGTACCAAAACTGCAGATGCTTTGTTGACATAAAAGTGGTGAAGTTTACAATGGCTATTTATTTAGTGAAATGCCTCAGTGTACTTTATTATTGCTGCAGAAACTCCAGTAATAGTTGGTGATTCAACTATAAGACTTTCACTTTCCTTTTCAGCTTGTCTGAAAAAAAAAGACTCAGCCTGTACAAACGGTTCATCAAAATACTTTTTAGTTTAAAAAGGCAAGATCATACAGCGTTTACAAATTTTAATGGAGGAAGCAGACTTATGACTAAGCTGGACTAATAAAAAAAGGGAGTGCAACGTGGATGCTAAATCAGTGCCAGAAATTAAATAAACAAAGCAATGAACTGTATTTTACTGAATTTCTTAACATAGTCATTCTTTGCAGCATGTACTCTGAAAGTAAAATGAGGATTTGCTATTTTTGCAGGTGAGCCACTGAATGGTAGGACTGCTCCTGGGATTCCTAAAGGATACTGGAGCTTCTCCTGGATAGCTGAGGACAACCTCAGTTTTCCCAGTGACTCAGTTCCTATTTCCGGTAAGTGAGGTTTTGTCAGCCCTCCTCAAACAGACCACAGATCTCTGTTCCCAGTTGTCCTCAACACCTGGCGTCAGCTTTCCCTCAGCACACAGTAAATCTCTGTCTTGTCTGCTCTCTACAAGGCACAAAATTGAGATTTTGTTGAAGATAGACACGTATTTATTCTTGAATTCACACACTCAGACACACGCATCACCTGTAAGGTGTTACATTTCTTACAGGTGAAATTACAGCAGAGATGAAATGAAACAATGCATATAAAAAGATACAGTTCTACATAAGCAGTTTAATTAAGACAGTTCAAAACCTAGAAAAAGCTGGAAAGAGTTGTTTTTTTTTAATTTGATATGTGCTAATTTCAGTTGGCTGATACAATATCTTGGTTTGTTTTTTCTAAGTGTTTTTTCAAATTTTTTGCCAGTTCTTATTGTCTTTCTAACAACTATATCTTATAGCATATATGAGCAAAAGTAAACTTTTTTGTCAAAAGCACACTAGAAATAAGCTAATTCCAGACCCTGGCTGGTTAATCAGTGTGTCTCTAGTAAAAATGTACATGTAGCCAGGTTGTTTTTTGGTATAAAATAAAATGTAAAATTCTCTTCCATATAAATGTAATGGAAGAGAAATGGGACTAAAATATCTAGCATGAGTCTTTGAAGAAGGCTTAATTTTAAATAATCCATCCATAAAATGGCCAAAAAGTGTTTTTATTAATAAGTGAACTCGATGTGTAGAAATCAATTAGAACTTTGAAAAAGTTTGCTCTGAATATAAAACAGCAATGTCAAATAATGAAAATCAATTTCTTTCTCTTTGAATCCTGAAAGCAGCAAGGCGTAATGAATTACTTTTTTTTTTCAGGTTTATTTAAAATGACAAAACTGTTGAGACCTTTGAAGCTTTAATAAACATAAAAACAGATGCTGCATGTGAAATGAACTTTAAAAGACAAGTACACAGTGAAGGAAACATAGTCTTATGTACTTACAACTAAGATAGTGTATGCAATAAAACGGATATGCTTACGTGGGATATTATAATGCATGGCTTTATCTATTTTTCTTTTTTGTCATTTGATGTGGAACATGTCTTAAAAAGTCATTAACAGCATTAAACATTCAATCTTTTCATAGACATCACTAAGCCTTAAAGCTGTGTTAGTAACAGATCTGCAGTCTGTTTAAAAAAAAGAGTTTTCACAGGGCAGTTTGGACTTAAGTATACACTTACTGCCTCCATAGAACCTTAGAGGGTAAGTAATAGCCATGTGTTGATAATCACAAGAACTTCACTAACTCGTCATCAGAAAGTGTGGCCACCTGAGATGTTAAAACAATGCACTGCAAAGCAAACAATTTGCACAGGAGTGCGCTAGCCAGCAAATTCACACAAAGATCAAACCATTCTGTTTGGGATCAATTAGCATGTTAATTGTTAAAGTTTATAACAGTACCATAAGAAAAGACTAAACAAGTATGGTTCATTTGGAAGGGTAGAAAGCTTCTTTCTAAAAAGAACATGACTGCATGGCTTCATTTTGCATGCTTGCATCAAAACAAATCAGAGATTTTTGGAAAAAATGTGAGATGAGACCAAAATGGAGAGGTCTGGCATTAATCAACAAAAACACCTCCCAGCAACTGTCAGGCACAGTAGAATCAGGTGTTGTAATAGTGTGCAGAGAGCTGTGCATAAATGCAAACCTACGAACCTCAATGAACTGAAACAACGCTTCTGAAACAACGTGCCAGTTCCTCCGCAATGATGTGAAGTCCTACAGAAAACCATTCTTCAAATTGTTGAGAAGGTTGCTCTACAATCCACTTGATCACAGAGTATACTTTGTGTACTCTATACTAGTTTTAAGGCAAAAACATCTCTTTTCACATCATTGTACTTGCATATGAAGCAGTTTACTGCTTTGCTGCTGGATTGGATATACTCAGAGCTGATCATTTGAAATTAATTTCACAGACACAATTGCAATCACTATTTTGTAACTCCTGACACACATTTTAAAATCATCTCAAATATAATGTCATGTAAATCTGCTTAAGGGCCATAATTGATTAACCATTCCTTTATTTGTACATATTCTGTGTGTGACAAAGGCTAAGAGGTTTACCCACTCCACTATTCGTTCTCAAGGATCCTTCAGGACCCTTGTTAATGACTTTAATTAGTCGTGTTTTGTAAACAAGAAGAAATTAAGTGGGTTGATTTTGGCATTATGTTTAAAATTAGCTAATCATAGTTCAAAAGCAAGCTTTTAGTGGGCCAATCAAATCTGAAGAGATGGCAAGAGAGGAAGAAGAAAAGAGTCATTTTCAAGACCATCTCAATGACACTGGCCTCAAAGGTCGGTTTTCTGTGCTGAAGCCATTCTAAATGTAAAATGTTTGAATGAATAAAAAACACAGTTTCTTGCAGCTGTTGTCTTAGAGCATCAGTCAAAGCTGATGCTGAGACAGCAAACCCAAAAGTGACTTTGAAAAGTGATCTAAAGATGTCAGAGTTCAGTATTACGTCACTTGGTGTGAGCATCTGTGTAACCCTTTAGGCGCTTGTGTGCATCTTTGTCACATCAACCCATTCGCATCACTCGGAGGTGACGGCTCCAGCAAGATTTTTTTTTGCCCATTTCCAGCCATCCTGGAGGGTTGGAGGTCATCCTGTAAGTGATGATTCAAACTCCCAATAGCACCAAACTGTCACCCAGCTGTTTATGAAACACATCTTTGACAGTGGATCTCTGGGACCATGCTTCAGCTGCTCGTGGCTCTGACAGTCCACAGTGAACCTGACTGAACTGGTGTCAGTTACACAACAGATTGCCATACTGTTTTTGAATCAATCAGCCTGTCATGGACACAGCCAACTACATTTTTCTGCTATTTCATGCAATGACAGCTCTGACCTATTGTCTCTAGTATGTTAACAAGCCCAGAGAGGGTTTATTTTTATTTTTCTGTATGGTGATTAGTGAAGTGAGTTTGGCTGGAGCAGGAAGGCTTACATCTGGACAGTAAAAGCTTGATGATTACAAATGCTGATGTAGAGTAATGGTGAGCTTCAGTGAAACAAATTAAATGTTGATTGAACAGACAAGAACAAATGTACACTTTTACTAGTACTCGTTATAATGCATTGTATTCTGTCAGTATATAGGCATTCTTTCCTTCCTATTTGTTCTTTGTATTTCATTTCTTGGAGAGATTACATTTTTAAAAGCCAAAAGGAGTCATGACTCTTTGGTTCTTCTGATAAATCTCCAAGGGACTTTTAAAGATTGGCTGGTTTTATATTGTGTAACATAGCATCAGAGGGTGCTGAGAAAAGGTTTGAGAGAGGACAAGTCACAACAACATGGCACGGTGAACTTGGCTGTAGGCTGCAGCGATAGATCTCTGCTCTCCCTACAGCATCTGCTGTCCGCTGGCATTTATTACCTACCACAAAAGCCAAAAGCACAGACCGACTGGACCTACGCCACCATACTCTTCCTCTCTCGCTCTCTCTGCATCGCTGCTTCGATTAGCAGCTTTAGCTGCAAAGATACAGGGCAACTCATCTTCCTTGTTTGAATTTCAGTGCTGGTAAACTGATTTTATTTCCCCACTGTGTCAGTGATGTCAATAACGTCACAGCCCTCAGTCTTGAAGTCTTTCCTGCTGCCCATCAACATTTATGTCCTTCTTTGAAAAATGGCAGCAGGAACTGACCATAGCCATATTCTCTTTTGCTAAAACCTTCCCATATGCTGTCTTTATCACTTTAGACCTGTTCTCTTCATGGAGATGGATTGTCCTGCATCAGCTGTGCCTGCCAGCTGTAACACAGGCATTCAGATGGATGCTAGCCACTTGAGGAGTTGCTGTGCTCCACAATGGAACATCTGCCTCACTCAGCTGGTAGTGCTGTTCTTGTGTAATGAGACACAGCGCTGGAATAAAACACATTTGCAAAGGCAGAGGGTTATAAAGGATAGAGCACTGGAGCAGGTGCTTAAATGTTGCTGCCTCTTGGAGTCATATCATTTAGCCTTTCCAACCCCTACTAGTTGGTGCGCTGTTTTATTTCCACAGCTATTTAAAGTGGTGAAGTGCATGGAGTTAGGCTCCTCTGAGCATTCGTTTAGGTGTAGAAGTCATTCAAACAAATTTTTAAAAAAAAGTTCCTCCAGTGTTCATGCAAGGGATATCTGGATACATTGTAGATTCCAGGATGAGGCAAAACTATAGTTTAGTATCACATTCAAGACCCATTAGAAATTTTTTTTTATTGAGGTAACACAAAAATCACATCAAATCTTTAACACCAGCTCTTAGTATCTCGCTCCTCACGAGACTAAAACCTCATTAGTCTCACACACACTGTTTTCTGAACACTTTCCTCCCTCTTTTTAAGCCCAGACTCAAAACTCACCTATTCACATTAGCCTATTCCACATTAATTTTTCCATCCTGCTACTTTAATTTATTTTATTTATTTGCTCAACGTTTTATCCTTATTATTTTGTAAATGGTTATGTTTGTTGTTGTTATTGCTTGTGTACAGTGTCCTTGAGTGTTTTGAAAGGCGGTTTCTTAAATAAAATGTATTATTATTATTATTATTATTATTATTATTATTATTATTATTATTATTATTAAAGTGGATATTGTGTCTAATAGCTTGGAAGTAGTGAACCTACCAAGATGCTGTTTATATTAGAGCCAGAAAACCATTTAATATTGTGGCTGCACCTTCAGACTCATGAGAGGGAAAAGTGTCCACTTCTCACCTCATGCCTCATCTCCTGAACAAAAGTCACACAAAAACGTGCACAAACATGCACATTTATTCTCAATATGTTTACAATTACTTTTATGTCATCAGATTAGAAATGTGACCCTCCCATATCCGGATAACTAACAAGAGCCAGCTAAACAACATTGGTTATACGCTAACCTTATGCTAGCTAATGTTATGCATGAGTATTGTAAAAACCATAC